CCAAATAAATTTCAAAAATTAATTTTTGGTTAAACCATGTTTGTTTTTATATTCATCAGGTAAAAATTAAGGAGGATACTTCATAAAAAAAATACTCAAATAAAAGTAAAAAATACAGCTTAGTAAGAATACTCCTAAAAGCACATTTTAAAAAAAAGTTACTCAAGTAAATTTAATTGAGTAAATATAACTAGCTCTGGGATTCACCGAACACAGACTGGACAATCTACAATTTTAGGTCCAGTCTTGTGGATGGTGCAGAGCATTTAATGAATCCATGAAAGAAAAGTTTAAAAAGTAAGCCGGAGATGACAAAATCAGAGTTCAACCACATGAGGATTTGAAAATAGATCCAGCTGTGAAGATTAATTTCTGATTTAAAGCACCAAATGTCATGAGAGCCTAAACTGTTGCAGGTGAAGGTTTGCATGATCCTCAAACACAACAAAAATATGACATCAGATGTGTGAGACCTACCATCCAGTGAAGAAGAAGAAATCAGTCACTCTGTGTCATCTTGTCTCATATCTTCTGGTTCCCATTCTGGTGAAATCACAGAGTTTCCCAGGATTTCCTCCAGACGCTCTCCTGTCCTTGCTGTGCGACTACATTACACAAACTGAGTGTCCTTCATGAGTGGGGGGAGAAAGGGGAGCTGTCACACAGCCTGTGGGCCCTCTCCCTGTTCAGACAATACCCAACAGCAGCCAGCAGGGGGCTCCCGCTCTGCTGCACATGATGTAACTTCCTGTGTGATTCAGATTGACGTATGCAGGTGGCAGCATGAGTGCGTTACCGCCATCCACTGGCGAAATAACGATTCTTCTAACCTTTTCTCTTCATAGACTGACTCAGAAAGGTTTATCAGTTAGTTTGTAACTAGTTACATTTACTTGAGTGTCTTTACGAAAAAAAAATCTTCTAGAAGCATTTTTACTATGCTGTACCTTTTATGTTTACTTGAGTACTTTATTATGAAGTATTTCTACTCTTACTTGAGTAAAACTTATGAAGAATAAGCTTGTATTGAGAAAAACTTGACCAGAAACAAACACACCCGAAGTTATTGTTAAAGTTTCATGAGTTTAATATTGAGAGAAATGGATTTGGAAAAATGTTTGTTTTGTCTGATTCTGATATTTTATAATGATCTTTTATATGAATAATTTTCATTTTGATATTTAACATACCAAATTTTCCACATAATTTTACATTTTAGTCCATCTGATGACGTAATGTTTAAATATTAAATGATTGATGCTTTGACCAGTTACTCAGCACTTAGTCCTTTATTGATGACTTCTTTATGTTTGAGTAATTTCTTGGACAGCTACGTTTTAACTTTACTTCATTAAGAATACGTTGAAGTAGCGTCATTTATTTGAGTACTACTTTTGGGTACTCACACCTCTGATTATTATTGTTTTTTTTTACCATTATGTGACATTATAAGCGCAAATGTTCGTGTATATTATTTATTTTTTTGGTGATAGACCAATATAATTTTCAATAACTGTATAGTTTTTTTCTGTTATGGTCTTGTATATTATTATTATTATTATTATTATTATTATTATTATTATTATTATTATTATTATTATTATTATTAGTAGTAGTAGTAGTAGTAGTAGTAGTAGTAGTAGTAGTAATAGTAGCAGCACCACTGCTACTATTACTACTACTATTATATTGCCACAATCCTATTTTTGTATATTGTTTTTAACACAAAATTTCGTTCTTTTGTGACATCACACTTCTGTGAACTTTGTAACTGACAGCCATCAGCAGACAGTTGCTATGGAGTTGCTATGACAACAACAAAGAAACCACAAGCTTAATGTTAGAGATTTTTTATCATTTTTATTTTTACTTTCAGTCAATATTAATCAATAGTTAATCAACATTCAGTCTAATGTTAATCAGTAATGACGGTGCTAAAACTTTTTGATTGCTGTGTTGAGTATCTGTGTTCCTGAGAACTGATTGTTCCCTCCAGATTCTGCTCTCAAGGAAAAGAGCCTGATGGCCTGTGTGTTAGATTGAGCTTGCCATCTGTCTTATTGTTTATCTTTTCTGACTACTGTTTTCCCAAATAAAAGGCCTCCTCTAGCAGAGAGAGGGGAGAACGCTCTGTGGACGACTCGGAGGAGCAGTTCGCTGAGACTTCTCCTTTTGCAAAAGCTTGGTCATAAAATTCACATACGTTGTCTGTGGTTCTTTTAATGAAGGTTCAAGGAAAATACCTATCACTTATAACTAGTTAACGGCTCGTTTCTAACTTTTAAACAATATAAGTACATTACAGGTATTACTAGATTACTCTTTCTGCATAATCTACACACCTTTGTGTGATACTAAGATACATATTATACATATTATATTAACTGTAGTACCTACTGCCGAACTAGCAAAATTAGCTTAGCTAATGAGACCTATTCTATTCTAATTAAGAATAAGAGGCTATAGAGCAGGTGTCCCCAAACTACGGCCCGCGGGCCTCCACATTTGGTCCGGCCCCCTGAACAATACCAGAGAGCATTCAGATTTTTTTTTTCGTTTATTGTATTTTCCGGTTTATATGTAGATTTTTCTTCAACCAGCAGGGGGCTCTTTAGCAGGAAGTGTGTCCTGTAAACTGTGGGTGTTTTGTTTTGCATGGCGCATTGCTGCCATCTGTTGGACTTTTAGGGAACTGCTTGACTTCTATGTTATTTAATCAATACGGTTGTTTGCTAGCGGTAGAGCAGATGAACACACCTGTCTGTTATGAACGCCAATGCCTGTAAGTAGTAGCTTATACTTCAAAACGAGCCTTTATGTTAACATATGAGAAATTAATAGATTACAGCTATGTTCCCTCAATGGTACTAGTTAGTCCCAGTGACCGTTTCACTAATGGTTTTTGCCCATGTGCTTTCTGGGTAAAAATTAATCGAGAAACGCCTTCTTCCCCCCCCCGTCAACAATGTCCGGCCCCCCACCAGAGAAGGGAAAAGTTATGTGGCCCTCACAGGAAAAAGCTTCACATTTACAGTATAAAACTGAAATATTGGCCAGGATTTAAAAATAACATACTTAAATTCAAAGTGGAACTCAGCAAGAAAGCTAACAAGATGTTAGTTTTCTTGCTAAAATTTTGTTTATTTTTGCATCTAAAAGCAGCAGACTATTTACAAGAAATGAAAAAATAACCACATTGATGTAAACATTTTCTTAACGCTGCCACCTACATGAAGTCTACCAGTTGATGGGAGGAAGGATCTGCAGTAACACTCCTTTGTGCATGTAGGATGGTTGGGCTATCCATGTGATGCTGGGGCCCAGTCAAAGTCCAAACATATTAAATTGAGAATCTGTGAATAGAACAATGATGTTTTCAGAAACTCAATCTGAATATTGTCGAGTGTTTATATTTCAATCAGTCAGTTTGATTGTATTATTGACAATATATTTCATTAATTTTAAATCACTGGTACAAAATTTAAATTCCATGTTTTATATTTACAGACACTCTTGGTAAATGATGAATGTCCCTGGATTTTCTCTTGGGCTTCATGATGTAATCAAATGAATTCCACATTTTCTCTTGTCTTGTGTTTACTGAAGCACCTCCTCTGTCCTAAACCAGCTAAAAACAAACCTCTCAGTATTCACATCCTGTTTCCTCAAAGATTTGTTTGGCGTCAGCTGAAAAGAAGGTCTGTGGCCACCAGAGAGCGAGACATTAATATTCTGAACACACCAAGAGCAAATCAACTGCTGGAGAAACTCTCTGCTGCTGCTTGTTTATTCAGTAGCAGCTCCATTAAAGTTCATGCTGTGTGAATAATATATTAAATGAAACCTTGACTAACATTAAAATAAGATGTATTTTTCTGTAGCAACAAGGAAACATTTCACAACAGAATGTTTGATTGTTAAGTCATGCAGTAATGTGTAATTGTGAGTTTACTGTAAATATTCCACCAAAATGGTAAAAAAAAAATGTTGGATTTATGTGGCAGTATACTGCAAGTGACAGTATTTCTTACAGCAAGAATTTTTATTTTTTAGATATTTTGCAAATATTTCTGAACTCCACAAATCAGTGATTTTTATTGCAAAAGAAAAAAAAAGTAATGAAATGTTATTCTACATTTTACAGATATTAAATTTAAATAAGTACTTATCGAATGCAGACACAGTCATTTATTAATGTTTTAACAGTTTGTTAGTAGGCTTTATGATGTGTTCTGGGACAACCGGCCCTTTAAGAACATTCATGATGTTGATGTGGCCCAAAATGAAAAAGAGCTCAACATCCCTGATATGCAGGATTTTATCCAGACAGAAGACAAAAATATGGTTGAGGATGCCTGTTCTTAAGTTGTTTCAAGAGTTATTGTAGAAATATTGGAGCAGATACATCTGCTCAGATATCCTGGTTAGATTTCAAAATGTCAGTTCTTTCAGTCTCAACATCCTTGGATCAATCATTTTTCATAAATTTAAGCATAAAAACCTACAAAACTCCCTAAATTCAGCTGGTATATAATATTACTATGCATTGTAATGATTGAACTGACTAAAAAGACTAAGTAGTTTTAGAAAGTTCATTTCAGTCGTATTTTACATTATATAAAAAGCACAATATGTAATCAGCCCAGGTGTGAGAGAATGAATTTTTTTGACTAATAATCAGTTTTTCCTTTGCTTTTAATTCTCCACCTTTTCCAAAAGTAGTCATGTTATAACAATAAACGTTGATTTATTTTGTCAGGATTTTATGTAAAGTAGTTATGAAGGAGGAGGAAAAGAGTATTTTTGTAAGTATAAATACCTGCAGGCTGCTTGTGGAAATAAACTTGAATGTCTTTTGGGACATGTCTCTTTCACAACTGGAGAAAGGAGTTTTGTGAAAATAGATCAAGCTCAGACAGTGTGGACAGGGAGCTTCTGTGAAAAATGGATTATTTGTAACATCACCGGGCCGGCAGAGGAGTCACACTTGCATATTAAAATGTTCTAAGAAAAGTTTTTCTTCCAGTGAAAACAGAGACGACAACATGAGTTATGGTTTGCCATATCAAGGTAAATTGTATGAATTTAATAAAGTGCAGGTAATACAAAATTTCCTTTCCAAGTGACCATCCTAAGCATAAAGCTAGGGCTGCACTGATTTACGGCCAGTTGATTTACCGGCACAGATTTCCTTAATTTTGGGAGATTGGTGATCGGTCGATACTTACATGTGAAGCTGATCCTATCCACCTCAGCAAATACCTAAAAACCAGCCACTGTCCTCTTCGGCTCTCACTTAAGAGAGGCTTGACCGGCTCATTTTAAGTTAACAATAGTCACCCCATAATTGTTACCAACTCAGTGACTTTCTTGCTATATTTAGCAACATTTCAGACAAAAACAAACTGGTATTGGCCAAATTCAGAAAGGGCAGGTCAGGTTTTCGGCGCACCCCCAGCTGCTCCAGCTGGTGAACCGTTCGCTGAAACCAGAGGCAATGCTGCTGTTTAGATTATAGGCAAACACGATCAGCTGTGGAAAACTCTTAACCTTTTGAGGACATTTCACACCCTTAATTGGGTAAATCTATAAATACATCTAAGTCTAGTTTAGATTAACCATTTCCTGTGATGCTAAATTATAAAACTTAATTTTCCAGGTTTCTACAGAGTCCTCCTGCTCAGAGTTAACCGTCACAGAGCCGTCTCTCCCTCGCCTGCGCCCATGTCCACCCTCCTGGGCACCCTGCTGTCCTCTATGTCCTCCCACTCGTCCTCCCCCTCCTCTCCGTCCTGCAGCCTCATTGGCTGACTCCAGCGGAGGAGGCGGTACCTGAGCGGCACCAGGAAGAGGGCGGGGTCAGGCATCGGGTGTGGACTCTGTGGTGACGTGACTCTCTCCTGTGGGATGCAGGCTCTCACCCTCTCCTCCCTCACACTGATGTTCTTCCTGTGTCTCCCCTGCGGCTGGACGGAGGAGGCACCGGGATGAGGAGACAGAGGCCAGTCTGACCCTCCTTCTTCCTCTTCCTCCTCCCCCCCCTCCTCCTCCGCTTCTTCCCCCTGCTCGCTTTTTCCCCTCTGCCGCTGCTGGAAAAGTTTCAACCGTGCGCCGTGCAGCTCGTGGTGCAGCGTCGTCGTCATGACGTTTTGCCGCTGAAGTTCTCGATTCAACAATGTGATCTTGTGGCTGCGGCGCTTCAGCTCCTCCAGGAAGCGCCGCTCCTCCTCCCGCAGGCTCCTCCCAAGCGCCACAGCTCGGGCCCGGCCGGCCCGCAGCTCCCCGCGCACCGTGACCATCATGCACTGCTGCCGCTCCAGGAGGCGCTCTGCGGCCTCGCAACGCGCCGCCAGCTCTGCTTCCTCCTCTGACGGACGAAAGCAAACACATACCCAGAGCTGGGTTGTAACTACTTACACTTACTTGAGTAACTTTTTGAAAAAATGTACTTTTAGGAGTATTTTTGCTGCGCTGTACTTTTTGCTTTTACTTGATTCATTTTATTGTGAAGTATCTCTACTCTCTCTCCACTTTCTGGATTCTCCACTGAATTAAAAACAAATATGTTGTAACCGAAACCTCACCAGACACAGACCTGCAGTTAAAGCTTCATAAGTCTATTTACTGAAAGAAACTGATTTGGATAAATACCATTTTTACTGATTTTGTTATTTTTTGTTATCTTTTGGTCCTTAAAATACGAAACACCAGTTCTTGAGTAAACTTTTTGCCAGATACTTTTAAACTCTTGGTATTCTTGGACGGCTACATTTTGTTTTTTCTTGAGTAATTTTATTATAAAGTATTTCTACTCTTACTTGAGTAAAATTTCTGGATTGTCTTCACACTGAATTAAAACCAAACATGTTGTAACCAAAAACTCGCCAGACACAGACACACACTTTAACCTGCAGCTTTTGTTAACGTTTCCTAAGTTTTTAATTGAAAGAAACTGATTTAGAAATATTTATTTTTGCCTGATTTTGTTATTTTTTTGTCACTTACATGAAGCGTTGTCATTTTGGTTGTTAAAATACCAACATTACACTTAACTTTGTATTTTGTTCCATTTGATTATGTAATTTTTGATATTAAATGATTGATCATTTGTTCAGTTACTCTGCATTTAAACTGCTTTGTTGCCGACATGTGCTAAACAAAGGGTAGGTTGATATGTAGTTTATGTTAAAGCAGCTGTATGTAACTTTTATAAAAAATATTTTATTTGTTGAAAATGTCACTATGTCGTGACAGTTTGTTATGAAACAGAAACTTTCGGTAAAATAGGAGTAAAGCAGGCATACTTTTCATTCCCACTTCAAAATTACACATTACATAAGAGCAGAATAAGATATATGGAAAAGGTTATGGAAGTTCACATTTCTCTTTAAAACTGATGATTATTTTTGTTTTATTTAAGACAGAAACCAGTTGAAATATATATTTTTTTTACATTTTAAATGATTAATTTGGATTATTACTTATTAAATCTAAATTCTTACCTGCCGTGTTTCTGTTGGGAAACTTGGAGTCCAGCTCACAGCTTAGCTCTGCACGTAGGATGAGGCATAGTCAGATTAGAGATTACAGATTGAGGAGAATAATCCATAATATAAACATCCACAGAGATGAATCCAGATTAGAGCTGGACGACATGGTTGAAAATTGTATCACTATAAATTTGTTTCTCATCAGTCCATATCGATAATTTTCGATCAATAATTATTGATCCGTTTTTTTTTTTAATACTGCTTAACCGGTGGAGTGACTTTTCTTATTTAATCCACAGTTTTCACTCCACGCCCCTGTTTTGTTGTTGTTTTTAAGCAGCTATGAGGCACAGTGATGAAACCTAAAACTGCTGCTGTGCAAGTTACTCAGCAGGTTGTTGCTAGGTAACCATAAATTACTCAACAAGCCGTTGCTAGGTAACCATAAATTACTCAACAGGCCGTTGCTAGGTAACCATAAATTACTCAACAGGTTGTTGCCACGTAACACAAAAAGAACACAAAATCTTACCAAGAATTTTTGTCCAGTTTCTAGTTCAAATATCTTTTGCTACACTTGAAGTAAGACCAAACTAACTTACAAGTAACTTTTCAGCAACAAATAAGTACTAGTTTTAAGTCAATAATTTCTTAATATTTGTGAAAAAGTACTTTTTCTATTGGCAGATTATTTTACTTATTACATGGGAAAAATATCTTGTTATAGGTGGAATAATCTGCCAATGGAAAAACGCCTTTTTAAAATCAATATTAAGAATTTATTTACTTAAAACAAGCTCCTTTATCTTGCTGAAAAGTTACTTGTTAGTTTTGTCTTATTTCAAGTGTACTAACATACTTGCACTAGAAACTAAACCAAAAATACTTGGTAAGATTTTGTGTTTTTCAGTGAATAAGCAGTTGATGCTACCAACCTTTCTGGCAGTGAGAGGTTGAGTAGCCTACATCTCCCAGAATGCTGTGTGTTTCAGTGAATATTCTATATGCTAAATATTCCATCAGATGTCTTATTTATTGATACTGATCATGTCACGAGTCTATCGTGATATTATTATTGATTTACTGCCAAGCCTGATCCAAGATGAGCATAACTAAAGGTTTGCACTACAAATGCGTTAAGGCAGTAACTTCCCATTTGGATTTGATGCTTCTGCTCCCGCCCTCCTTTTGTAGTACCGCCCTGGGCAACCGCCCATATCAAATACGGGCAGATTGGAGGGACTGACCGTGACAGCGCCTCTTCAGGTGTGTGATCTCCAGCTGCAGGCCAGTCAGCATGGCCAGGTGTTCCTGCTTCAGGAAGCAGATCCCCCTGTCAACGCTGGCCACCTGCTGCTCCAGCGTCCCGGCGTCCATGGCTCAACCTTCACGCAACCTGAGCAGATGTTAGCAGCGGGACGTCAGATGCAGCACTAACATTTAATATAAGAGAAAAGCCATTTAGTGAAAATAGCAGCCGTGTCACTCATCTCATGATTGATTTCGCTGCATGTGTTTTTCATCTGTGGCAGCGTTTTAATCCAAACCCCTGTCTGTGGCCTACCGTGATACTGAAGCGGTATCCAGCTCAAAGCGTGTCTCATGGATCTTCGTACCGTCCTGGACCGGTGTCTGTGTCCTCGCTGCAGCGAAAATGCGGCGAACAAAAGCCCGATCAGTGCGTTAAACTACCGTCTCCTGCTGTTCGGATGCGCTTCCAACTATTTTCCTGTCCACATTCTGCAAAGCATGAATGAATCCTGCAGGATCAGGCTGAGTGGAAATAACCTACTCTTCACCTTCTGCCGTTTCGTGCAGTGCGGCGCTGCGCTCACAACAAAGCACTGAGCTATGAGGGGTTATTAGTGCCACCGAGAAGGAAGAGACGGAGAACAAGGAGGAGGGGCTTTATTATGCAGACATGAGTCTGACTTTGATTTGAAAACATGTTGGACATTTCACAGTTAAAGAAAAGGCCTTTTTATTTTTAAGATTTCAAACAAAACATTACAGCTTTTTATTACACACAAATACCAAAAAATATTCACTCATATCTGAACATAAAATATCCTGGTCTTATAAGGATTAAAATTATCCCAGCCCAACCTTTTGCAACAGCTTCAACTCCTCTGGGAAGATTTTCCACAGTTTTTCTGACCATTTTTCCAGAGGCACATTTGTGAGGTCAGACACTGATGTTGGACAACCAGGCCTCGCTCACGTCTTCCATTCTTACTCACTGCATAAGAGTTTTATTGGGTTCAGGTCAGGACTCTGCCAACTTCTTCTTAAGTAAACTAAACTCCTCATCCATGTTCTTTATGGAACAGGAAGTAGAAACTTTTCCACATACTCGGTATCATTAAATTGACAAAAACATCTTGTTGTGAGGACTGAAACCCTACTCCTCAATTCACCGAGTTCCTCAACGCAGAACATTCTGCCACAAAGAGAGAAAACACTAAAACTACCAAGACTTAGGAAAACACAAGGAGTTTAGCTTAGCTTAGTGCTATGCAACCTTTGCTGTGTCGCATAGCATTAAATTAATAATACCTACATCTCCATGTCTCATTTAATTGACGGAAATGTTCGTCTTTTTGCCATCCAGCGCTGTGCGCATGAGTTCGGAGATTCTCACAAGATAAAACTAAAACATATCTTAAATGCAATGCAACATCTGAATATAAATCGGTTTAAGTTAAACACAACAAGCAGAGGTTCTTCTTCACTGCTGTCATCTTCGTCCTGTAAAGTGTTTGAGGAGACTCTGACCCTACGGACTCTTCTGCTGTTTTTCAGTAAGGAAGGGGAGAGCAACCCGTTCCTTCTGCTCAGTTTTCTGATAGTAAGGACAGACTTTCAGATGAGCAGAAATCGGAGGTATGTCGGCCATGTTCCATGAATCCACAGCAGAGAACAGATGACTGAACTCCCACACCTGGAGACAAACAGAAGCAGCGTCATGAGGACACCAGCTGTGTTTCTATTATAAACGTGTTTGTAGCTATTCTGCTATTGTCCAAAAAACACAATTTCCCAACTGCGGTGTTTCCCTTAAACACTTTAAGTCATTAGAAATTATGTCAGTGACGGATGTAAACAGTTACATGAGAATATATTCATAATTCAGCCGTGACGTTCATCATTTGTCAGCCAATCAGAGGAGACGTGGCGTCTACTTGGGAGCGGCTGCATGCAGCGTTTTGGGGAAATGGTAGTGGCTGATTTTACACATTCAAACTTTTTATGAATTGTGAGAGATCTGGTGGAACCAGATGCACAATGTCTGAAAACAACAAGAAATAACAAACCATCATCCTCCTTCTACTTCCTGTCATCGTCTTTGTCGTTTTCGCCAGATGTGAAAAAAGTGTTTCCAGTACAAGTTTCCATTCTATACGGCTGAAAAACCACCTCATGTTAGCACAAAAACCTTTTTTATTGAAAAACATGAGTTTTTTTAAATCATTAAACTATTTATCTTCATTATTTCAATTTGAGCAACTGTTTGGTTAATGGAAGCACAGCTACTGATAGCAGCTTGTGGTGGACTGGATGGTTTGTTCTAAGTTAAAGATCTGCTGATGCCGTATCAACCTTCCAGATGTCTCAGATCTTCTGGTTCTAGTTCTGATTCTGCTCTGCATCCCCAGAACCAGAACCAAATCTGGAACAAACCTCCAGAAAACTACCAAACATCCAAAACACTGAGTTCCTCTAAATCTAGACTAAAAACCCAGGTGGTTAGAGTTGCTTTTGAAACATAATAAATGAAATATTAATCAACATTCTGATGTGCAACGACTAAACTAATGTTTCAGTTTCTGCCTTTGTGTTTTTATGATGTGAAGCACTTTGAACTGCAGGATTTTCTTCTCACAGGTTTGGACTTCCACTTGGCTCTCCCGTGTGAGGAGCTGGTCCTCTCCCAGCGGAGCGTCACCATCCCTCTGTCCTGCAGCAGGGAGGAGCAGACCTGCCTCATGAGGCGGGACACCAGGGCCAGCTGGGACAGGGACTGGCTGTCCAGGAAGCTGGCCATGTGGCACAGCACCTCGTAGGGCAGCGAGCTCAGACGGTCCTCCCCGTCTCCAGCTTTGCCGTCCAGAGAGGGAAGAACGTCTGGACGCAAGTTGAAACACCTCAGCTGCTGACTGTGAGAAGCAAAGAAAACTTTGGTCAGATTGTCCAGTAGCACACTAAGGTTTTAAATAACCTTTGAACTTTTACAGATTTGTCACATTAAGAGGGCAGTGTTATGTAAAATCAACTTTCTAAGGTTTTTAGCATGTTTTGATGTTGTTCCCTCATTCATGTCTCCATGGCAACAATTCAGCTGCTCTCACAAAGCGCTGTCTATTTACCCAAAACTCCTCCCCCATTCAGCTCCTCTAGACTAGCCAGCAGCAATTAGCAAACAGAACCAAGCTCATCATATGAATTATTTCAGTCCAACACTCCTAAGAATGGTAATAAACGGCATAAAGAGAAGCACTGTGGACATGACATGTTCGAGGCAGAGCTTCTTAAAGAGATAGAGACCCAATTTCAAAGCGTTCAATTGCAAATTCAGACTTCCTTTTAGTCATGCTTCATACACCAACTTAAATGAAGGTAACATAATTACTTGATTGTGCTATAAAATAGCACTATGTGCATGAAATTACATAATTCTGCCCCTTTAAAACCACAGATTTAAAGAACTTTCTCACAAGTGTGGTATGCATTCAGCCCACAATTAACCCGATACTCTTAAGTAAAATCCTGGGAAACCAAGTGAATTCAAAAATCAGCAGACTTTTAAGTAGAACAACAACTCCAAGAGATAAAGTCAAAAGAAAATTATACAAAATATGTACCTGCCATCATCTAAAAACATTTAAAAGTGAGGTTGTTCTCACTTGTAGGTGACGGTGGCTTTCTGTGTGGAGGGATGAAACCTCCTCTGCCTGTAGGTGCATCCCAGGTACGCCAGGGGGCACTGCTGCTCAAACCATTCACTCAGACACATCTGGATGTCGCTGTGCACATTCCTGGAAAGATAAAAACAGTTGGTACACGCCAGATATGTGCATCCACATCTGAACAGTTACATCTCAGCAGAGCAAAAGCAAAAAAGTAGCACTACTTCAACATATTTAGGCTCAAGTAAAAGTGAAAAGTACAGCGTAGTAAAATATACTCCTAAACCTACATTCTTTCCACAAAAAAGTACTTTTAGGGAGTACTTTGTTGCGGTAGTAACTAGTTACTACTCAACTCTGAGAACAATCTTTAGAAAATTTAACAGGAACCTTACAGTGAGCTGAAACCAGATTTATACACTGAATATTTAGGTTTTTCCACACATAAGTCAAATTTATGTATCTAGTAAATGTAACTAGTTTCCACCCAACTCCTCCTCTGAGTGTAACACACCTGAAGTGTGTGGCGAACTCTCTGCGGTGGAAGGTGTGACCGCAGAGGAACGTGAACGCACAGCTGGCTCTGTTGTTCCTGCTGTTCACGGTTTCCGCCTGAAGCTGCAGAAGAAGCTTCAGCGGCCGGTCCACCATCACGTCCGCCAAGGTCGTCCTCCGCTTGAAGGGCGCCGTGCGGAAAGAGTGCGTCTGCGTGCCAAAGTCCACATACAGCCCGTCTGCTCCCTTTGTCTCACTGATCTGGAAAAATAAGACAATTTACTGAAGTCAGTGATTATTGTGTTCAGCAGCTCAACCAAAAATGACCAGAAATGAATAGAAACTACCTACATTTACTTGAGTAACTACATTGAGCTTTTTACTCTTACTTGAGTAAAACGTCTGGATTCTTTACCAACTGCAAAGAACAAACATGTTTTAACCAAGAATTTTCATTAGTTTTATATTGTATTGTATTAATAAATGGAAAAAAAAATTCTTTTACCTGATTTTGTATTTGTTATTTATGTAAATTGTTTTAATTTTGATCTTTAAATACTAATATTTCTTTATGTTTTGGTCCGTATGATAATTCATTTTCAAATATTAAATGATTGATGTTTTCATTCGTCACTCAGCATCTGAGTAAAGTTTTTACCAAATACTTTTTACTCTTACTTTTGACTTTAAAGATATGTTGAAGTTGTGCTACTCTTACTCAGAGGAGGATAAAGTAGCCAAAAGTAAGAATAGCACGTATTTTTATTCAAGTAAAAGTAAAATTAGCCACCCAGGAAATTACTCAAGTAAGAGTAAAAAGTGTTTGGTAAAAAGTCGACTCAGGTAGTGAGTAACTGATCAAATTATCAATCATTTAATATTTAAAAACTACATCATCAGATGGACCAAAATATAAAAATATATGGACATTTTGGTATTTTAAATCTGAAAATGAAAATAATTCATATAAGTAACATAATTACATGTTAAGACAAACACACTGGCATGTTTGTTTGTCTTATTATTGTTTTGTTTTAACTTTTTGTCTGTTCTGAATAAATAAACCACAGAATAGCAAAATCAGACAAAAGGAACATTTTTCCAGACCAGTTTCTTTCAATATAAAACATCTTAAAACTTGAACAAAACCACAGATGATTTCTGTGTCTGGTGAATTTTTGGTTAAAACAGAAATCTTACTCAAGTAAGAGCAGCAGTACTTCATCAAACTTACTCAAGTTAAAGTAGTAAAAATACTCCTAAAAGAACAATTTTAAAAAAGTTACTCAGGTAAATGTAACTAGTTTCTACCCAACTCTTACGTTCTCCATCCATGTTTGTACCTTGTGGCCCATGACTGCCATCTCAGCGTAGCCCAGCAGCGTTTCTTCGGCTTCATCTCCAAACCAGTCATCCTCACCAGCTCCCAGGTCTGATGTGTCCACGCTTCGATGCTCAGTCTGCACCCGAGCAGCCGTCTCGTTCAGATGAACCCGCCTCTTGTAACGATAACTCACAGGCACCTTTCAGGGAAAAAGAGCAGCTCATTGCATTTTACAAGACAAATGAGATCAGTGGAAAAACTGTGAGTTACACCAGAGTAATTGGTGAAAAGCAACATGCCTGATCATTAACTGCAGTTTTTGACGTAGGTAAGCTTTGGGAGAATCAGCTAGTTTATCTAAACTGGGTGACATTTTGGAGTTTTCAAAAACAGCTGGAAATAATTTAATGTTCGATGACTTGTTCTTGGTTTTACTGTGACCAGTCACATTTATAAAACAGCACCACCCTTCACTTTAGGTGACAATGAGAGGATGAGTTAAGAGACCTTAATTTCAGGTTGTATATATTAAGATGTGTTATTTCCGAGGCATTTCAAGTTAGGTGTTTTTATGTTTAGACCAAACATAAAACTGGTTTGGGGTTAATATGTTTTTCTGTCAGGATGTGGAGCCTGCAGCCTTTCTGGAGAGTTTGAGAAATTCTCAATTTTTATTCTGTGTGAATTGGCCAAACTTGAGCTCGTCACCTTGAAAGAGTGCAGCGTCTGGACTGGAATGGGCTCCAGACTGCCGTAGACAAAGTCCTTCTCCCTGGAAGTGCAGGCCTCAATCTGCCCGAAGGCCAGCAGCATGCGTCCGTGATGCACCACGTACATGTTGTACTCCTGGGGGGTGAGCTCCTGCCCCAGACGCTCCAGAACCCCCTCCTGCCACGGGGCCAGGCCCGTCTTGCTGGTGTCAGGTGGAGGGCAGCTTCTGGGACTGGATTTGTCCTGCCGCTGTCCTGCTGGTCCCTTCTGGCTTCTTCCCTTGTCGGCTGGTTTTTGTTTTTGTTTTGGATTTTCCAAATTCTCCTGAGCGACGGCGCAGGCGCCTCTCTCCATGCTGAACATCATCTCAAACAGATTGTACTTCTCCATGTTGATCACTGGAGGTTGTGCAACACTCTGAGCAGTTTCTTCTGCAGCATGACTTTCAGACATGCTGCTTATAGGAAGAGCTGCAGAGAGAAACAATTGCAAAACACATTAAAATAATAAGTTTTTCTGTTTTTGTACTTCAGTTTGAGTCTCTGCTGCAGGCTTGTTAATTTAATTTTGGGCCATATCAGAAATCTGAATGTTCTTAAAGGGGCGGTTTTAAAGTGACATAAAACAGCTCATTCTGAAAGGAGTTCAAAATGAACAGACTAGAATCTCATTATCCAAGAGGAATTTTGTGTAAAAGATGTACAGAACATGTTACGTAGCCCACAGACCAGTGGTGCCCAAAGTCGGCATCCTGCATGTTTTAGTTCTCTCCCTGTTTAACACACCTGGATCAAATGATGGCTCTTTAGAAGGCCAGAAGAACACCGACATGCTGAAAAGGTTCTTACTGCCACCAGGGAGAGAACTAAAACATGCAGGATGTCAGTCCTTCAGGTCCGACTTTGAGCGCCACAGCCATAGACCTTCCCTGGTTAAAGTTGGACTAAAGAAGCTCCTTTTTATGTTTCAGAACCAAGCTGCATTTTGACCAACCTTCACTTGGGTTTTGGTCTTGAACACCTCCGACTGCGACCTCCTCTCTGCTCTCCTCCTTTATATCCTCCTCTTCTTCTTGCTCCATAAGCTCTGGATACAGAGGCTTCATTTTGAGGCGGGCGTACAAGTCTGACTGGTCAACTAGAGCCATAGCAACATCCAAAGCCTCGCCGTGCGTCTCCCTTTCCTTCATCATGTTGTCCTGCATGGCGTTGAAGTTATTTGGGTTTGTGTCATCCACCGGCCAGCGCAGCCACTCCATGGAGCAGCAAACCACGCTGGCCGGACACACCTGCAGGTGAGCCGCCCGCGAGGAGCGGGGCAGCTGGACCGGGCAGCCGTACTGGGCGTTGAGGCACGGCACCCTCACGTTGGGGCACAGCAGCAGGTGCTCCTCCTCCTTGCACAGGTGGAAAACCGCTCCGCAAAGCAGACGGCAGGGAAGGAGAGCGCAGCTGGCAGAAGGCTCCACCCGAGCCCTGCAGCGCCGGCTGTAGCAGGAGTCACAGTGGAGATGCTGCCGGACCCTGGAGCCACGAGAACGGTGACTCTGAGAAACAGTGACACAGCAGACAGTTGGCAGCAGAGTGGGGAGTTACTGCTCACTTTTACTCAAATACATTTACTTGAGTAACTTTATTATGAAGCATCGCTCCTCTTATTTTAGTAAAATGTAAAATTTTCTACCCACTGAATGAAAAACAAACATGTTTTAACCAAAAATCCACCAGATACCGACACACACTTGCAGTTTTTGTTAAAGTTTAAGTATTTTAATGATTGAAAAACATTTATTTTGCCTGATTTTTTTTTCTCTTACTTATATGAATAATCATTTTAGTCTTTGAAATACCAAAATTTCCACTTAACTTCACATTTTGGTCATCCGATTATGTAATTTTTAAATTTTAAATGATTAATAATTTGATCAGTTACACAGTAAATGGGTAGACTTTTTACTAAATACTTTTTACTGTTTTTCTTGGATGGATACTTTTTACTTTTACTTGAGTAAAAATATGTTGAAGTAGTGCTACTTCTTGTTGAATACAGTTTATGGGTGAATCTAATGCAAATGTGTGAATCACTTTACAAGCTTTCTACTAATTATGACTTGGTACAGTATCGATGCTCAACAAAACGTTTGTCACTCACCATATTTGACTGATTTTTCTATCCTGAAAGAGAAAAAAACAAGTGAGTTTAGTACTTTAATTTCTGACACCGACTGTTGTGTCATAAAGCTCAAAACTCCCTCATCCTGTCTAGCTTTTGTCTTTAAAAAATAAAACCAAATGTGTTCAAATAAATCAGATAACTACATAAATCTGACTGAACAGTACAACTTTTGAAAATAAGACAAGCAGTTTCTCACTAAATGTTAGTACTTTTAAAGCTATAAAATAAAATAAAAAATAAAGCCGTGCAACAAATTCAGTTTATGGTGACAAATATTAAACATTTTTCTGGTTAATCACATCTTTGTTTTTGCAGCTATCCTTCATTCTCAGCAAGCACGTGGCGACAATGGGCAGGAAGGACTCCATTCTGCTCAGTTAAACACCAACGGTCTTAAAAAAATAACATCTTTGTAGAAAAATTAAGAACCATTATCCTGGTTTTGTATTACATTTTAAATATAATCACACTTAATACAAATGTAATAAAATGCTAATCAGATTTTTACCTGTTAGCTTCTGAATATTCAGTGATCAGTTTTTAATGATTCTGATTATTTTGAAACAAACTTACAATAATCAATGAAAGCATTTTGACATTCTGATTCAGCGCTCTTTGTTTTTAAACAACTGAAATGGAAAATTGAACAATGACTGCTGCTCGGTCTAATGTACAGATCTCCAAACAAACACTGAAACCAGTTAAAATCTTTATCATCGACTCTTAAATTAGCTGCTCAACCCTCGACGTCTTGAAATTTAAACAAACTGAAAGAGGTGATTTACCAAATCGCCGGCCAGACGTGTCGGTTTGTCTCCTTGGTTTTATAACGTTGCTATCAGGTCTGCGCTTTGAGGTGGCAGGTTAAAATTAGCCAAGGAGCAGTGAGCAGGCTCCCAAGGAGAAATGACCCCCCCACCCCAGCCAGCGTCACGCTGCAGCAGATCATTTAAAATTTAAACCTTTTCAAAATCTTTATCCACGTCTGAATTAATGTGAACAAACGTTTTATGATCTGTGACAATAAATGCAACCAATAACATGCACAGGAAGTGATATAATGGATTAAATATTACAGCTGTGAATATCACCTGACGGATCAGATTTTGCTAATAAATAATATTTATAATGCAGCAGTAAAAGATTATAAATATTAATATATTTCCTGATTTAAGAGGTCGAGAGGGCTTGTAACCTAAATAACACTTCTGACCACCTGTGTAACATTTCTCAGTCAGGACTCTGCTCTATTTATAACAGCAACACATAACACACACACAATGAAACACACACACATTTGCTCTTTAAAAGCATAAGCTGGACTGCCTGTTTTCTTCTCAGCTCATTCAGTAGGTAGGCTGAAAGCTCAATTTAATCATTTCCTTTGATTCTCTTGCTGCAGAAACATTATTTAAAATGATTTGTTTATATTTATTTTGTTATGAGACGGTTGTACTGAAAGACGGTGAGTAATGGAGTCTTCTTGCTTCCACAGATCTGCAGCTTCAGATACAGAAATCTGCAGACACCACATTTTAAAGATGGTGAGTTAACGCTTAAATAATAACACTAATCTCTGATTCCACTGCAGCAGACATTTTAAAAAAACTTTTAATTTACTTAGCATATTACTTAATTTCCCTTTAATTAAAAAATAAAATATGTCCTTCTGACGATAAATACTAAAATAAATTAGAGTTTGAATGAATACTTTTAGGTAAAAGAAGCACATGGTCACCATGATATCGTCTTCTGTTTGTTTTTAAGTCTTGAAACTGTCATATTCATCATTGCTCTCACAATACAGAATGTTTTATGTTTTGTAAGTTTATTGCATCAGAAAATTTGGACATTAGATGAAGCTCATGCAAGATTTTTTAAGGACATCTCGTTTTGAATCTGTAAAAATCTAAATATTATCTAAGACTTCAGGCTGGAAAAGTGAAAGGATGAAAATGACAATAATTCATACAAGTAACAAAAAAATAACAAAATCTGGCAAAAGAAAATGTTTCCAAATCAGATTCTTTCCATAAAAAAAAACTCATGAAGTTTTAACAAAAACTGCAGGTGTGTGTCTGTGTGTGGTGAATTTTGGTTAAAACATGTTTGTTTTTCATTCAGTGGAAAATCCAGAAATTTTACTAAAATAAGAGGAGCGATGCTTCATAATAAAGTTACTCAAGTAAATGTATTTGAGTAAAAGTGAGCAGTAACTCCCCACTCTGCTGCCAACTGTCTGCTGTGTCACTGTTTCTCAGAGTCACCGTTCTCGCGGCTCCAGGGTCCGGCAGCATCTCCACTGCGACTCCTGCTACAGCCGGCGCTGCAGGGCTCCGGTGGAGCCTTCTGCCAGCTGCGCTCTCCTTCCCTGCCGTCTGCTTTGCGGAGCGGTTTTCCACCTGTGCAAGGAGGAGGAGCACCTGCTGCTGTGCCCCAACGTGAGGGTGCCGTGCCTCAACGCCCAGTACGGCTGCCCGGTCCAGCTGCCCCGCTCCTCGCGGGCGGCTCACCTGCAGGTGTGTCCGGCCAGCGTGGTTTGCTGCTCCATGGAGTGGAACCGCTGGCCTTCCAACATCGCCTGTTCTCAGCCGCACACAGAGCTGTTAGAAAACCTGCTCAGGGAACGAGAGAGGTTTGGATGTCTGGACCTGGCCATGGCTCTGCAAGACCAGGACGCTCTGTTTCACTCCATCAAGATGAAGAAACTGTTCCCGGAGCTGATCCAGACCGCAGAGGAGGAGGCGAAGGAAGAACAGAGGCTGGAGGAGGAGATGAAGAAGGAGAAGGAGAAGAAGAAACAGGCTTTCATGGAGAAGGAGGCAGCAGAGAGAGCAGCTGCAAAAGAAGCAAGGGACAAAATCTGGGAAGCAGTTAACATGATTAATGTGAATTTCCCTGATGAAAAACAAGATGAGGATGAGGAGGATTATGAAGAAAATCAGCCGGTGTTGTCTCAAGCAGAGAGGGAGGCCATAGCCAGAGCATCAGAAGTGGATGCTGGTCTGTTGGAGAACTACAACGCCTGGGAGCGCATGTTCAGCATGGAGATGGGAGGCTGCAGGGAATCCGAGGGCACGGCTGGAGCAGGCAGAGGTCAGGCGAGAGGTAAAGGAAGAGGGAAAAGCCTTGGGTCACTGAAGGAGGAGGAGGAGGCAACCTGTGATGGTGCAGCAGCATCCACCAGCAGTGCATGCTCCTCCTCTCTTACTGGGAAACCCAAAAAGAAGAGCTTTGTGTATGGAAAACTAGAGCCGATGAAAATCATCACTGTTCGCACGTTTAAAATCCCGACCAGCTTCACAGCCCGGCAGGGCCGCATCCGTAACCCGGGCTTCTACAAGAGAGAAAACAAAGCAGTGGACACCAGCGACCTGGGTGTGGCGCCAGGCGACATGCCAGTGTGGGAGGAGGTTCAGGTAAGTTGACCTCCATATCATCATCTGATAGGAAAGGTCTTTTAAACATGCAAAATTATTTTAAAAACCCATATGAATACAATCTGGTACACCGCAAACCCACAAAATCTTTAAAAGTGCTTTTTTGTCTAGTTTCTAGTGAAAATATCTTAGTTCACTTGAGATAAGAGAAACAAACTTACAAGTAGAAAGTAGTAGTAGTCAGCAAGAAATGAGCTTGTTTTAAGTGAACTTAATATTCATGTAAAAGTACTAGTTCCATTGGCAGATTAATTGCTGAAAAGTTACTTCTGAGTTAGTTTTGTCTTATTTCAAGTGTACCATTTGCCCTAGAAAGTAGACAAAAATACTTCGTAAAATTTCGTGGTTTTGCAGCGAAGAAGATTGTAAACATACTAAAGTATTTTGCATGTATGTCCGTCTAAGCTAGTAAATGAAAGCTATAGCTAGGCTAATTTTACTAGTTCGGCAGTAAGTACGTAAGTACTACATATTTATGAGTATTACACGCAGAGTACTAAAAAATTGCGATCGAGTAATATTTGTAATATACTTATATTGTTCTTAGCCTTATGAGGCTAGTTCTAAACTTTGGCTAGTTTACTGTTGTCATAGCAACTGCATAGCAACAACCTACCAAGCTCGCGGTCCGTTACAAAGTTCACGGAAGTGCGACGTCAGAACTTTAAATTAAATTAAAGGCAGGTGTGGATGACTTTTTCAAAATTTTATCCTTTGGGTTTGACTTCCCTCGCAGGCCTCCCTGCTGTGCTCATTGGAGAGGGAGCGGAGGGGTCACCTTATCGCTGAGAGCACGTCCTCGGACAGCCTGCTGATGGATGAAGGCACGCAGACCTACAGCTTCCTGTCCGCCCCTTTCCGCAGGAACACGTCGCTGGCTGACCTGACAGCTGGAAAACCGCTGGAGCTGCACCTGCAGCTGCAGGTGGAGAGCGTCACCAGCCGGCAGAACAAGGCCAGCTCCGCCTTCACCTTCCTCTGCGGACACACCTTCCAGCGCACGGAATACGGAAAACACTTCAAGCGAGTCTTCCTCATCAGTTCATCATTTAAATATTTAATAATAAATCCGTATCTTCCTAAAAATAAAAAATACATCACTTTTCAGCAGATTTACCAGCACTTCTATAGGTTTAGAGCACTCAAAATTGTAGCTACTTCAACATATTTTCACTCAAGTAAAAGTAAAAAGTAGCCATTCAAGTAATTATTCAAGAGTAAAAAGAATTTGGTAATAAGTCTACTCAGTAACTGATCTAATTATTAATCATTTAATATTTAAAATGACATAATAAGATGGACCAAAATATTAAGTTAAGTGGAAATTTTAGTATTTTAATGATCAAAGGCAACAAAAAATAAATAAATAAAATAAAATTTGTTAAAACACAATTTTCCAAATCAGTTTCTTTCACTAAAAAAATTCTGAAACTTTAACAGAAACTGCAGGTGTGTGCCTGGGTCTGGTGAATATTAGTTACAAGATTTTGTTTGATTATTTAATGGGTAGAAAATCCAGAAATTGTACTCAAGTAAGAGTAATACTCCAAAATAAAATTACTACATGACTTTTCAGCAGATATCAAAAGTACATTTTCCCAAAACAGTTACTCAAGTAAATGTAATTATGTGACTAGTTACTACACAGCTCTGATGCATTCTATCCATTTGCCTTTGTTAATGGAAATGGCCGCTGCAGGAACATCCACAGCGACATTCAGATGTGTGTGAACGGCTGGTTTGAACAGCGGTGCCCCCTAGCGTACATGGGATGCACCTACAGCCAGAGGAGGTTTCGGCCTTCCACATATGAAGCCACCGTCAACTTCAAGTGAGAGAAAAACATTTTTTCACATAAGTTTATGTAACATTATGATTATAGTAATGTGAACAGAGAGATAAAAATGGAAACTGACGAACTCAAACTGTGGTAGAAATCAGTTCCTGAGATGAGGAAAATGAACATGACAGTGAACATAAAGATACTAAAACACTGAAAAACAAAGCAACACTCCAAGTTTGTTTTTGATGCAGGAATAACATTGTGACATGATGTAAAGCTAAAAAAGCTGCTCTTAAATAATACTGCCCCATTAAACATCTCATTATTTTAGCTTGGTTACTGTTGAAGTAATTAGCTTTTCTTTGTTATGGGCATTATTATTAATTATACCATTTGATAGAAACATTTTTAGTGAACAAGGTGTCTCCTCCACAGATTTTTTTTTTAAATCTCACCTCAATCAAAATTTCAAAATGAATAATTTCAGGTTAAATGCTTTTTCTAAAACATGTAGGATAATCATGAAGTTATCATTTCTTCGTCCAGACTTCAACATGCAGATGAACCAAACTGTTTCATCTGCTTTCAGTGAGGAGCTGGGCTGCTTTGGCCTGCATCCGTCCACACCGTTTTCTCAGCCTGCGGGTGGAGGTCACGCCGAAGGAGGGGAGGACCGTCTGAGCTCGCTGCCCTACGAGGTGCTGTGCCACATGGCCAGCTTCCTGGACAGCCAGTCCCTGTCCCAGCTGGCCCTGGTGTCCCGCCTCATGAGGCAGGTTTGCTCCTCCCTGCTGCAGGACAGAGGGATGGTGACGCTCCGCTGGGAGAGGACCAGCTCCTCACACGGGAGAGCCAAGTGGAGGGTGACACACAGGGTGAGCTGAAACCCAAACAACCAGAGTTAAAAACAAACCCAGGAGGAAGCTGTTCCTGTGGACAGACAATCCCTCTCCCAGTGCTCCCAGTGCTAACCAGAAAAACCAATCGGAGCCAGGAGGCGGGACTTAGCTCTGCCTTCCTCTTTGCTCTCTGCTACGCTGCTGCTAGCATAGACTGTTGTGAATGCTAAGCTAGTTAAAGCCACCAATGGAGATGCTAACAAACTGTCACGACCAAATGTGGGTAGAGTATCCAACAATTGTACTCAAGTAAGAGTAGCACTACTAAAACATACTTTTACTCAAGTAGAAGTAAAAAGTAGCCGTCCAAGAAATTACTCAAGTAAAACAGTATTTGGTAAAACGTCTACTCAAGTACTGAGTAACTGATCAAATGATCAATTATTTAATGTTTAAAAATTACATCATCAGATGGACCAAAATGTAAAGTTAAGTGGAAATGTCGATATTTTAATAACCAACATGACAATAATTCATATAAGCAACAACAACAAAAAAAATCAGGCAAAATAATTTTTTTCCAAAATCATTTTTGGCTGGAAGTGAAGTGTTTCTTCACCATAACAATGGAGGAGATCGATGTTTTCACTGACTATGTGTCTTATGAGATGGTGAAAGTTTGAACAAATACATAAAAAAGATAATTTTTAATAAATGTACACAGTGGAGCTTTAGTGAAAATACTCACCTTTGAACATAGACTGATAAGTTTTCCCCTCTGTCCTTCAGGTGTGGCAGTTTAGCTCGCTGTTCTCTCCTGTGGACGCCTGGAGCTTCAGAGACGTCCCGTCCATCTCTGAGCATCTCAAAGTTTGTCCCTACAACGAGGTCGAGTCCAAGACTGAGAAAATTCGCTTGCCTCTTGTTCGAGAAGAAATTAAACCGAAGAAGAGCTGCAAAGGTCCCACGCTGGTCACACTGTTCCAGGAGAAGAGGATCATGATGTAGGAGCTGCTGTTGGACCTCAGTTCAATTATACTTTATTGATCCCAAAGGGAAATTAAATAATGCATGTTTTCTCTCTCTTTCCATATCCATTAATTAGAAATGGAGCTTAAACTGATACAGAATAATTCTGATTTTAAAGTGGCATAATAATGCAATGTCTTGACAGCACTTTAAGAGTTTAAAGAATTGTTGTTTAATAAGTTTTAAATAAAACAACTAAAGGTTAAAAATTTCTGCTGTTTCATTCAGATTTTTCACTTGCAGAGACAAATTGAAGATTGCGATTCATTCTTGGCGTTTCTAATACAACATTGTAGATTTTGCGTGTTTGCTGTAGTTAAAGAAAAGCATCTAGTTCTCAATTGAACAAAGTTATTGTCTGTAATAAGAGTAGGATTTGGGTAATTTTCTTTCAAAATGTTTGCCATATTTAGTCAAGTTTAAGAAATGGAATCAAAGCTGATTTACAAATTACAAATTAAAAGTCTCCGTCTCCATCTGTCGGCCAAATTTGCATCATTTTTGAACTGCAGCTGGGGATCGCACAAAATCAGTCCAAGGACCACAAATGGCCCCCGGGCCGCACTTTGGCCACGCCTGCATTAGTACTTTAGTATTTAAACTTTGAATTGTGTCTGGATGACAGAGGCCACCTCTGGCTTTGTAATGGTGCTTTGTCGACTGTCCATTCAGCAGTTCAGCTTCGTCAGCCGTTCTCTTCCCCTGCGGCGCTGCGAAACAAAAGCGCTCGCTGCCTTTCTGTGGAGTAATGAGGCTGAACAAGACCAGCAATGCTAATGAAACACTTCTTTCACCACAGGTCACTTATTAGCACATTTTAGTGTTCTTATCAGATCAAAACTTTGAAAAGACTCGACAATGCATTTTAGAGATGGACTACTTGGTGTGGAAAAGACCTGCCATCATTTATCTGCAAAGAGGAAAGCAAACTGACATCGGACACCAGATTCAACGGCTCCCAGCTGAATTTTAATGTTTTAGGAGTGGATTTGTGTCTCCATGTGCCATTACTGTTAAATAAGTGACATGTCTGGGACCAAAGCACGTAAGTCGTTTATTTCTAATAATTATTACAATTGGGAGCATTTCATTCTGATAGTCTGAGATCTCTTTGTGTTTAAGATGTGGGGTGTTTTGTAGCGTTAGTAACTGATGATGGTTTGCTCAGCATGTAGTGAGTTTACAGACTCTGATTCTGACGACAAAGAGGAACAGACAGCGATGGTGTGTCTGGAGACAGACCTTCATGATGGACAGTAAGAAAAACCGTTGTGATCTGGAAATGTAAAAGTCTGGTTTAACGTGTAGCTCAGGGGTGTCCAAAACGCATTTGTGGCCCTGGGACTGATTTTGTGTGACCCCCCCTCCCCCTCAGCTGCAATTCAAAAATTATACAAATTTGGTCCATAGACACAGATGGAGACTTTTAATATGTAATTTTTTTACACTAGAAAATGTAAAGTACTATTCAAAGTTTGCATTTCTATAACCAGGCTTTAACAAAAGGTAAAACCATTTGCTGCACCCAAAGTAGCTTTGATTTAATTTATTAAACTTGACTAAATATAGCAAACGTTTTGAAAGAAAGTGAGTCAGATTTAGATTGCATAAATTGAAAAGATTTCAAGCTTTACATCTTTGTGTTGCTTCAATTTAAGCTAAATGCTAATGTCACCATGCTAACCAGCTCTAATGAACATTTATTCGCATAATAAACTGACAGACATATGTTTGCGTTACAACTGTATTGATATTATTAAAAGCAACTTAAGCACAAAAACAAACTCTGGGTTGAAGCTGCGTGAGGCTTTAATTGGATTTTTATTTCTGTATGTCAACATTTTAAGGATTTCTTTTAATGTTTTGAAAAGTGGACCTCCTCTATATGGTGATACAATTATATAAAACACAAATCAAAGGTAAAATGGGAGACAGTGCCTTGACAGTGTCGAAGTTTTTAATCTGATACGTGATTGTCATAAAACTTTTTAAGCAGCAGATATGCGCTTTAAACATTTCTTTATTTATCTGCAATATAGTGTATCTTCATAATTCACTAAACTAACTACTTCTGTGTCTGTTCATGTGTGACGTGAGGATGATGGAAGTGGATATTGGTCGTCACAGTGTGCTATTAACGCGCTGCGATGGAAAATATAGCGCCATTTCAAACCAGTGTTCACACTATGGCGCGCCGCTTAGCAAAGGTAAGGAAGAAAACAACATGAAAGCAGAGAAGGTAACGTCTCCAGTTAAAATGTTGCTTTCTAGTGCGTTATTCTATGTTGCAGCCACCTTTTTTGTCGCTTCTGCTCAGGCGTTATTTCAGGACACAAAGTGCGCTGCCCGTGGCACGGCTCCTGTTTTAATGCTTTGACAGGAGACCTGGAGGAGTTTCCTGGGATTGACTCTCTACCTTGTCACAAGGTACAAACCGGCCGATACGTCCACGTTTAGCTCAACATTTGCTGCTTATAATTTATTTTCTTCTTTTCAGGTCAAAATTCAAAACAGCAAAGTGTACGTGTCCATAAATAAAAAGGTTGGTGAGTTAATTAATTGTTAAAAATGGAAGTAAAATTTGGGGATCTAAACTAATTTGAATCACAGCACATTATTAAAAACACATTTTTAGTAAGAACCTGGTATCAGCTTAACGACCATTTATTTTTTGATTCTATACAATTCATTATTAATACAAATAAAGCAACTTGTCAGTAATGCTCAGTCGACTCGATTTGAAGCTGGTGTGCAATAATACTGCTGTAATAAATGGAAACATATATTTTAAGGCATCTTTATCAATCGATGTGAAAAACAAACGTTTTGTGCCACATTCAGGACATCCGGCATCAGAAAAGGTTGCAGCGAATGGGAGCTGCAGTACCAGGAGTGAACCACACAGTTTTACTGCTGGGAGGAGGTTGGTGGCCATGTTTCCGTCTGTGTGCTTCTGCGATTTAAAGTGCAAAGCTTAAAAAATAAATAAGCAAATCCTGCTGACTCAGCAGTGAACAGAAAACATCTCAATGAAAGAAATGGATCCAGTAAGAAACTATAGCCATTGGGTTTGTCGTTTGGATCCCATTTTGAGCCAAATTATTGACCCGTAAACCTCAGCTAATTCTTTCTAGGTGAATAGAAGAAGTTTTTGTTTTTGGATTAATTCAGTTATTTATCAGTCAATTGAAAGACAGTGACTGGGTCGAACATATTCATCCCTTTTCTGTTAAATAAAATCTAATTAATTCTGCATCTCGACACGACTCGGCTGTGTGTTGGTAAGAGTCTTTCTGCCTGCGTATGTGTAACGTGTGTGTCCTGGCAGGAGCTGCTTCGCTGATCTGTGCCGAGACGCTGCGGCAGGAAAACTATGGCGGCAGAATCATCATGGCCTCCAGAGACGACCTCTTACCTTATGACAAAACCCGACTCAGCAAGGTCATGAAAGCATTTGATCCTTCTTTTCATTTTCAGGACGGAAAGCTAAAGAAGTTTTTTATTGCGTATAATCCAGGTAATGAATGTGTTGAGTGGTGACACTATTGTGCTGAGGAAGAAGGAGTTTTTCCAACAGTACAACATTGAGGTTTGGCTCCAGAAAGAAGTGAGTACTTCTCTCTAAATGTACATTTTCCTGACAAATTAGCAGCTAAAACAGTTTATTTTATAACATGGAATAAAGAAACTGAGGCACCTGACTTGATAAAGTTTTCTTTTTCTGTTTTTTAAAGGCACTATCGGTGGACACGGAGAAGAAGACGGTCACTTTTGATGACGGTTTAGTCCAGAGCTACGACCAGCTGCTTCTCTCTACTGGCTGCAGGTCCAAACATTAATAATGGTCACATTTATTTCACCTGATGCACAGAAGCAAATGTGCACAAAAGTGTAATTTAGCTAAGAATTTGGGTCTGCAACCTTTACAGTCCAGCAAAATAACACTCATTTAGAGGTGCAAATGTTATTACATTAACTTTAACATTTTAACAATAATCTACCATGAGGAATTTATTGTCAGTTTTTATAAAGAAGCACAATTTCACTTCCATTTTCAGGTTCACAAGTAAAGAAAAACAGAAAACTTTAGATATTTCAGGAAAACTAAGTTATGTTATGCAAAATTTCCAACCGAATGGAGAAAAAAAAAACTAGGTCTAAAAAAATAATCCAGTGAATTTTAGTATCAATCTGCACTGGGAAAAAAATGTTCCATGGAAAAATCTTTCATTTTCCTTTAGCTTTTCCATATTTCACAAAGAATAAAACATCAACATATTTAATTAGTATTTTATGTGACAGATCAATATGGTGCATACAGACATAAAGTAGAGAAAAACAGAAAATAGGAAAATATTCCACAATTTTCCAAATTTTCATAAATAAAATCAGAAGAATGCGTCATGCAAATGTGAATTTAATTTGATACTCCTATATATAAAAAACAGCTCCACTAATTGTCTCCAGAGTTCATTTCCCACCTTTACTGTTAATAAATGTAAATCCTTGCATTAACTTTACACCAGGGTTTTCCAAAGTGCGGCCCGGGGGCCATTTGTGGCCTTTGACCTCATTTTGTGCGGCCCCCACCTGCAATTCAAATTTTGTCAATAGATGCAGATGGAGACTTTTAATTTAAAATTTTTTTTACAATGGAAAATCTAAAGTACAACACAAAGGGTTTTCGTTTCTATAACCAAAAGATAAAATCATGTTTATCCAAAGACTTTTACTGTGAAGGCAACTCTGAAGCACCAAATCAAACTCAAACCCAGAAGAAACTGAAAACTGGATGTTTTTCTTTAAATACAGCAAACATGCAAGAGAGGGGAAAAAGTCAGAAATTTTTAGAATAATTTCAGAAATTAACTATTGAAACTCTGAAAAATTCCAAAAATCAAAAGTTTTTTTTTTTTTTTTTAAGTTTTTTTTATTAAACTCAAAATTTCAGATTTTTTCTAGAAATTTTTCAACTTTTCAAACTCAGAAATTTCCCAGAACATTTCTGAAAATGTACTACTTTAAAAAAAAATCTGCTATGGCCCTGATATGCC